TAAAACAAGAACCATGCTAGTTTTTTTTTTATAGGATTGGGTGACAAACGAGCACACAGTCCACCTGATGGTAAGTGGTTGCTGTGACCCATAGACATCTACATTTATCCTCAACAAATAATCAAAATTCAGATGCGTTTTCACCTGTGAGGGCTAAGATGGAATGCCCCTTTTCCAGTAAAAAGGGTTTCCGGTTCTCTACACTCACCATACGAAACACAGCAGCGTTAAGCTGCCATTTTACGCTGGTATTCTGTGAGAGCGTGGTCCTTCCTCGGTCGAGCCGACCCATCCGTGCTACAACTATACTATTAATATAGCTGCAGCATGGCTCTACCACGTAGAAATTTGCTGCTTTGCATGAAATTGGACAGTTAAAGGGACGCGATACCTCAGAAATTAAGCGCTCGTCGTAAATTTTTAGTATGCGAACAACACGAGTAGAAGCCCGGCAACAATGAAATTGTTAATTGCAATTTAAGTGCTGATTAGCCGCGTTCTCGATGTGTGAGGAAACCCGCATCTTAGATAATACTCCCGATTCTGAAATAGAATCCTTCCCCGGACGGGCAGCTGTATGCAGTTCAAAGAAAGGGTCGCCTTCGTATTGCTAGCATACAGTGCTGCATACAGCTCTACCGCAAAAAAATAGTTGCAGCTCTCATTTTGATAATTTAATCAAAAGTTGTTTTAAAGTCACAACGGTCCGTTATTTAATAGGACGTTCCGTAATATTCCGATTGCGTAGCAAAGGAAAAGCGTTCGTCGCAATTTTACTAATGAAACCGTTAGTGAACCAAATCGTTGAAGTAACCACCAGCGGAAACGGATAAGCGTTCTTACGAAACGTATGAGGTCGTTTCACTGTCACTATCACTGCTGAACGTTGGCCACCGCATAGATTGTCACGAAGTGCTATTATTCTCTTTGAGGCGATTATAGGGAAGGCGAGAAAGATCTCTTCCAATCGCTCCCGGTAGATGCCGTTATATCCATCTCGCTCATCAGTATATTTTAAGTATACGATCTCGTTTACGTCGGACACAATAATCTTAATGGCGCTAGTGACATATCTACAATTGTTACTGCTAATAGAAAACTATAAAAATTTCGTTCATTCGTTTTACTAATAATTTACGTGGTAGAGCCATGCTGCAGCTATATTATGGTTGTAGCACGAATGGGTCGGCTCGACCGGGGAAGGACCACGCTCTCACGGAAAACCAGCGTAAAATAGCAGCTTAACGCTGCTGTGTTTCGTATGGTGAGTGTAGAGAACCGGAGACCCTTTTTACTGGCAAAGAGGCATTCCATCATCTTAGCCCTCACGGGTGACAACGCATCTGCATCTTGAGTCTTTATTGAGGATAGATGTAGATGTCTATGGGTCACAGTAACCACTTACCATCAGGTGGACTGTGTGCTCGTTTGTCAACCGATCCTATAAAAAAAAAACTAAATTGCAAATAACAATTTCTTAGATGCTAGTGGAAATCAAGCCCCTGGGCTACCAAATGTTTTATTTATTTTTATTTATTTTTTATTTGTGTTGAATAAATTACAGCCAATGGTATTAAAATAGTCTTTTTATATATATATATATATATATTATATACCCCATGTCATCCCGTAGATATAAAGTTTATAGGGAAACTGATACAAGGTAGACTTCTGTATTATTTTATCGTTTAAATAATGGTTTGTTCGTTTGGTCTGCGAATGTGAAGTATTGATTAAGCCGAACGTCCACCGCCAACTAAACTATGTTAAAACTATGCTCAGTGAACAAAGCTAAGCTAACCTGGAAAATCGTTGCACGTCCACCGAAAAATAAGCTAAAACCAACAACACTAAGCGAAATGCGCCAGAGGGGTAAGGCGAGGGGGTGAGAGGCGCTTAGCTTAGTTCGCGCAGTTTCGGATCGGCCTACACAACTTGGTTAGTTTGACTTAGTCTGGCTATTTTACCTAGCTTAGCTGGCATAGTTTGCGGTGGACGCACATGTATGAAGAACTGGCTCAGCTATGCGCGCTAAGATAAACTAAGTTGGTTTAGTTTGCGGTGGACGTTCGGCTTTAAAATTAAACAAGCTAAGTTCTAATGTCAAATAAATATAACTTATTTTTTGACGATAATAGTTATTGCCTAAATTGTAAGTGTTAGGAATGCGTCAGAAGGTAGTTCTCTTACTTACGCAATTAATTATTATCAGCAATAAAACAGAGTAACGCACTACACATTTAGTGTAGCGAAAATACAATTTGACCATATTGTAATACGTGCGAGGAATTATGTCAATTTAAGGGATTTGAGAAACTATTGGCATCGACTGTGCTGACTCAAACTGCTGTCAAAATATTCCAAAAACTCAGTAATGTGACTCGATACATTGTGATGATTTTTTTTTTATTGTATTGACACTGAAAAATTACAACCATACGATTCCATTACTAAAGAAGAAGAAGGCCCTCGTTTTCTAGATAATTTAATTAACTCGGGTCGTTAGTATTAAAGTTATCAATGATCTTTAACCGCGAGACCTCTCCCATTTATCTATACTTTTAAATTATCTGTTTCCAAGTCATAAAGTGGCTTATAATATTTTTATTTCTATATATGGTCTAGTTCATTGAAACAGTCTTCAACTGAAATTATAAATTAGGTAAGTACCTAATATATAGAGTAAGTAATAATAATATATCTATAAATAATAAAATAACTTTTGATTTGAGAACAAAAAGTTCCTATAACTCTTGCATTAATTAATCAGTGTCTGATTTAATATGACCTTTATCAAACTATAAGTACGTTTAGCGGTCACCATGGAATTAAGTATTATGAAATCGCCTTATTGGTGGCAAAACGTTCGTTACGTGACCAAGATCTCGTCAGCAAACACACTTAATGCACATGCACATTGGATAATAAAATATGTAATGCCAGTTACTAGACTCCACAGAATCAGTAATTCATTTATGGGGCAATGAATACGCGTTTACAACAAAATCCCAGAACATTGAATAAAACTATATTTACGGATTTTATCGCGTTTAGTTTAACCCAGAACAACATGTTCTGGGTTAAATTAAACGTTTGTCAAAAGACAGGATAAAAAGTTTTATTAAGGAAAAACTGTACAAACAGGGTTATTTTTATATCAAGGAATACATGAATGAACATAACCCCTGGGAATAAGGTGATCGCCACCATGCTGGTTCATTGAAAATTCATTTAAAAATTGTACAAAAAAAATTATCATTGTAAAGTGAAATATGTTTAAAAAAAAGTCCCGCGTTGCTGGTTCTTCCCGGGAAAGAAGTATTTTCCGAACCAGTGGTAAATAAAAAATGACTTTCAATAAGTATTATGTAATAATCAAATATCAATAATAAAAAATCAATCTATTCTATTCTATTCTGTAATGAGTGCGACAAAAAATTAAATATATAAATAAATATATATTTATTATAATTTTAAATATACAATATGTAACAAAAACCCTGTGGTTCCCATTAAGTACGTTATCAGGATCATTATTCAAACGTATATAAATAACATTTTTTTAAAACAATTGAACAATATTTTTTTTTATTTTATTAAAAAGATAATTGTATGCAAATTGTATGTGGTTTTATTACCTCTGCATTGTCTGAGGAGTAAGAGGATTGTCATAGCATCTTCTTGTAATATATAACCACTAAAAATAATAAAAATAACAGCGCGTTCCTCGCGTGGCAACATAAGCAAAAATAATAATGTCCTCCAGACCCAATTTCGGTCACAGCGGCCATTGTCAACGGAGTCTCATTTGCAGGACAGGGACCATTGAGTTATATGTAACACGTACTAGTACACAACATACTACACGTACTTCCAATCAAAAATTGTGTCCTACTCTATGTCTTCGCGCATGCGCGGGAGTAGTAGTCGCGCATGCGCGAAGACTTGAATTTGATATAAAATAAGATATTAATATAAAATAAATATAAGAATTTAATATAAAATATCTTAATTTAATCTAAACAAACATATTATATTTCTAAATAAAATGTAATAATAATTATTTTATGGAATTCACAAATCTTCAATTTACGCAATATTTAGTTTGTATGGATTGCACTACAGTTCAGTTGAACATAGTCTATGTTCGGAATGGTTTCTCTAGTACGTAGTACATATAACTCAATGACAGGGACATTATAGTGCCTGTATGCGCGAGCACTGGACCGACCGGAGAGAGATCAGGCGCAGGACCAACGGCTTTACGTGCTTTCCGAGGCACGGGGGTGAGACAGCGTCAACTCCCTTACTCCGAGCTGCTACTGAGAACTGCTGACCGAAAAACTCAATTACTGATTTTTGACCTGACCCGGGATTCGAACCCGGGACCTCATGTTCAGCAGTCGCGATTACGAGCACTAGGCCAACCAGGGAGTCGAAAACAAATATTCTCCCTTTGGGTCAATCTATACGAGAGGCCTATGTTCAGCAGTGGACTTTTTTTATAGGAGAGTGGGCAAACGAGCATGCGGCTTACCAAATGGTAAGTGACTACCGTCGCCCATGAACAACTGCAACAAGGGGAACCAAGGGAATCGCAGATGCGTTGCTGTCCTTTTAAAAAGGAGTAGGCTCTTTTCTTGAAGGTCCCTAAGTCGACAAGCTGTAATGATGATGATGATGATGATGACAGAAAAAATCTGAAACCAAAGTATGCTTAGTGCTTACGTTTCTAATAGTTTTATTATAACTTCAATTCAGCAGCGTAGTGTTGAAGCTTGCTCTGTTAATCATATAATTCTTTTCTTTTTTCTCTTTTGAAAAAAAAAATTAACCCCACACTATGATTGTCTCTTGTATCGTGGAGGCAGATTACAAACATAAATTGCACAAGGACAAACATCCAGACCCGGAACAATATGTGCAGGCCATACAAATACTTGTTCTTGAGCTATCATTATTGTGTATTTTAATAAATAAATTAAATAATATCTTTACAGCGTCCTTCATTCAGCCCTGCTCGAAGTCTGACCCCAATCTGAACCAATGCATTCAGAAAGCGATAGAAGTGGCGGGTTCTAAATTCGCTAAAGGCATCCCAGAGCTGGGCATCGCTCCTTTAGACCCTATGGAGCTCGGCACCGTGGATGTCGAGAACCCCGCCCTCAATCTCGTCTTCACCGACACCGTCGTCACTGGACTCGGGGATTTCAGAGTCAATTCCTTCAAGTAAGTTGCATTTAGTTTTCAGAATTTAAAAAAAAAACATTTTAAGACCTTGATGTAGTTGTCAAAGTTACCATCAGGTAAGACTCCTTTTCCACCGACTTCGAAAAGGACCCGGTACTCAATTCGACTGTATGTTTTTTTATGTGGGTTACCTCATAACTTTTTACTGGGTGAACCGATTTCGTTGATTCTTTTTTTATTTGAAAGCTAGTGCTTTTTGTGTGGTCCTATACAAATTTGATCATGGTCTGACCAATCGTTTTTGAGTTATTCTTAATAATTTATATTGAAGTCGGTTGTACAAAATTTTTAATTTTTAATTATTATGTCTAGGAGTCCATGGGTCCATCTAATGGCGCGTCGCCACCAAAAATGTTGACAACATTTATGTTTCCAACTGTTGACAAATCAACAAAAGTTGGCGACATTTGTTTCCGAAAATGTTTCAAAATGTTGCAAGAAGCGTCTCCACCGAGGGAACAAATGTCGATAACAAGCGTATTCCTTTGATGTTGCCGCCCAAAAATGGAAACACGATTCCCGACATTGTTTCGTTTTGTTGCTAAAACTAAGTGATTACAGAAACATTTGTTGACAAAACGTGTTGACAAATGTTGTGTTGGCAACAAAACTTTGGTGGAGACGCGTCATAAGTAGCTACCACCATAGCACTACTGTCTTCCTGTCTGAAGGATATAGAGATCCAGTATAATTGCAGGCTATGTGGCATTCCATCTCAGTCCTCAGAGGCGACAACACACCTTGTAGCCTTCTTTGCTTGAAGTTGACTACAGGTGTCTATAATAGCACTGCTATGGCCACTTACCATCAAGTAGACCGTAAGCTCGCATATCACTTCAGTTTTATGAAAAAAAAAAACTAGTACGAAATTTCGTCGCGTTATTTTACCTTTTTTAATTGCTGTTTCGGGTACCTACTCTACAGCACCCATGGTCACGGCGGGCACTGAGGTGTTTGACGTCCCGATGTCATAGTTAACGAAGGCTACCTTCAACTTAATTAGTAATATTTGGGTGCGGTCCATCCAGAACGAGCTTCCAGTTTCTTAAAATCTCGCAATAGTATGCTTGGGTTTGGTTTTAATTTTATTAATTATGGGATCCCAAGCAGATAGTAGTACCCAGCCATCTTTTCTATTGAAATTAGAACTCTCTTTAATTTCACTTGAACTTGAATGATCATTGGTAGGAATTAGTGATCTTTTGCAAGGAATTGTGGTTTATCAATGATATAATGGTTGCGAGCGTCAGTGCTTCACATCAGCGATATGTTCTATTATGGATCTTTTGTTTGTCCTATATAAGAGAGACTACACTTGTACTCCTGCATAAGCTTGATCCAGTGATTCAGGTCATGTGATAAAGGGCATCTGTGCCCAGCTTTTGGAAGTAACTTTAAACAACAGTAAATACTTTTTGAGTCTAACACTCGTGCAGGATACATATGTCCTGAATACCCGCAAGAAAGAACCAATAGAAAGGCTAATTTATCAGAAACAGAGGTTCTATTTTTGATGAGGTCATTTCCAGGAACTCTACAATTCATCATCATTACAGTCCATCACAAGTCTACTACTGAACTTTGACCTAAAACAAGGAACGCCACAAGGCACGGTCCTAAACCACCTGCATACACCGACTTCCTGCATCACTTACCAGGTTGTCACTCCATTTTGTGGAGGGAACACAAACTTTACAACTATACATATCAATAAAATAGAAGTGTTTTCTCTGATATTGAAATAACTGGCTTCTTTTAAGACATGAACAACCATTTTTAAATTTTTTGTCTGTCTGTCTGTGCGGGATAACATTCGCAATAGCTGAACCGATTGCGATGAAACTTTATGTACAGATAGAAAACAATGTCAGGAGGGATCTAGGCTATATTTTATCCGAAAAAGTTCAAGATAAAAAAAATTATAAAATGATAGTCTTTGATTATCTTAAATTCATAGTGTCAAAAACGGCAGTTCACTGCTGAACATATGCCTGCCCCATAGATAGGAATAAAGCGAGGAATATTTGCCATAGTTGCCACGCTTGCCAAGCGGGTTGGCAACCACAGTTTTTTTTTATTTTTAGTCGTTATTAGAAAGATATTGCTGCCCATCTCCTCATTTGTTTTCTTCTGCCGTCTCTTACGACTGCCACGAGACGATAAGGAGTAGCGGATATTCTTACATCGCCACCACACAGTTGATTGTCTTAAATCTAAATAAACCACATTAGTAGATCATATTCAGGGTCACTAGTAATAATATATAAATAACTAGCTGACCAGGGAGACGTTGTTCTGCCCCTTCCGTCGGCTATTTGCTTACCTAAAAACTCCTGAGATTAGCAATAAAAAAATTGAGGGTGACTTATCGGGATAAAAACTGTCCTATCTCTTAAGTTGGACCAAACTGCACACAGTGTGCAAAATTTCATTGAAATCAGTTCAGAAGTTTAGGAGTTCATCGCGGACAAGCAATGTGACACGTAATTTTTATATATAAAGATAAATAGTTATAAAAATTATTTAAACAAACTTTGGCAGCGATTACCTTATTCCCAGAAATATGTTTTCTTTTTTTAATAAATATTTCATACAATTATCAAATTCCAGAATCAACACAGAGACAGGAAAAGCGGTGTTCGACTTCACCGCCAACGTGACCCTGAGCGCGAACTACAACATGGACGGTCAGGTGCTCATCCTGAGCATCAAAGGAGACGGTCAAGCTAAGATAATAATCAGTGAGTCTTTTATTATATATATCACTGTCTGCTACCCGGCGCGTTGCTACCGCAGAAGAAATTATTGTGAAAGTTTGGAAAATTTGTCGGTATGACACGCGCGCCACCTACGTAAGTTAATTGTACTATACCTATAACCTTCGCGGAAATGAAAGCAATAAGTTGATGATGAACGGTATGGCAGCGTATAAAACACGAACAAACTTAATTTAATGTTAATATATTAGTTTTACTTTACATTTTTTTAAGAGGAAAATAAACCAGCCGGGCTAGCATGGGCAGGAGACAATTTTATCCCCGGGGAAAGGAGAAAATGTTTATCCACTCGCTTAGTTTTATCCACCCTTAGAGCATGGGCACACCGGTGGATATAATATTCACAGTAGATAAATTGGGAGATAGACTTAAGACTTAGATAGATTTTTTTGTATGAATATAAACTTCAACCCACGTCCAATGAACTAAGATAAAATTGTCCCTTTCAAATGTCAAAAAAGCATAATTTTTTAACTTTCATTGGGCTCCATGCTACAGACAAGGAATAAATGTCTACTCGTTATGTAAAACGGGGATATACTTCTCCCCGTTTGACATAACAAAATAATTTTATCTCTTGTCAGTGGATATAATCGGGGGATAAAATTTTTGTCACCCGCCCATGCTAGCCGGGCAGGAGGAGGGCGGCAGCACCCAACCACTAAAAAAACTGAGGTTGAATGAATAAAATGAAGATATTAAGACCCTTTTTACTGGAAACGAGGCATTCCATCTTAGTCCTCGGGGGTGAAAACGCATCTACATTTAGATTCTTAATTCTTAATCGTAAATGTATTATTCTATAAAAAAAATGTGTGACTAAGAGCTGACTGTAAATGTCACAGTACGTGAGCAACCCAGGTTCGATTCCTGCCAGCCATAATGAAATTGATAGTTGCAACCTTAAATACTGGTTTATCACGTTCTCAACAGAAATCTGCATGTTTATGAAATTAAAAAAAATATTTCGAAGAATAAGTCAGACATTTCCTTGCCTTTAAACCCTAGTGTATTGGTGTTGGGAGTAGTGGTGCTAAGATTAGTAGTGACAGGGATAGTGCACGCAATTGAGGGAGGGTGGGAGATGCTCTTCAAACTAGGTAAGACACATCATTCTATTTTAGTGCGCGGGTCTTAGTAAATTGATTTTTAACATCTTTAACACCTTACTTACTCTTACGACATAGAGAGATGGACCGTATGACAGTTCTTTTTTTTAAATTATGGCTTCTCTTGATAGAATTCTGCCAGTGTCAAGTCAGTCATACGTATGATCAGTTACTGACATCCAATCATTCGGAAGCTGTCAAGCCAAATGTTCTGGAGATGTTCTCAAGATTACCCTTTTGTTACAGCAAACCTAAACATCGTGATTAAATACGACTACGAGACAAAGGACGGTCACTGGGTGGTCACGAAGTACAAAGACAACTACAAGATGGACAAGGCGCAGTTTAAATTTACCAACCTCTTCGGGGGAAAGAATAAGGAACTTGGTAAGCACCTGGTCTGCGGCGCTGCTCCAGTATAAGCACATTCGTGGCTTCATGTGCACGTATGCACGTACGTACTAGAAAAGCCACCATATACAATATGTAACAAAAACCCTGCGGTTCCGGTTAAGTTCTTTATCATTGTCATTATTCAAATGTATAGAAATAACTTTTTTTTTAAACGAACTATATTTTTTTTAAATTTATGCATATTGTATGTGGGTTTATTACCTCTGCATTGTCTGGGGAGTAAGGGGATGGTCAAAGACCCCGCTTTACTTAGCTTTAGCATCGGCTAGTGTCAGTAAGAGGTAATAAAACCACATAAAATTAAAAAAATCTATGGTCGAGTTTTTAAAAAAACGTTATTTCTATAGGTTTGAATACTGATCCTGATAACGTACTTAACGGGAACCACAGGGTTTTTGTTACGTGTTGTATAAGTATATATTACTCCATTAGTCCACAGCTGAACATAGGTTTCCCCCACAGCTTGCCTTATAGAGGGGATATTTAACAAGCCTCGCTTGGCAGACGGGTTGGCAATCGCAGTTCTTTATAATTTTGTTCTATCAAGAAGATGCTGCCGATCTCCAGTTTCATATCCCTCAATCGCCTCTTACGACTCCCGCGGGACGGGTAGTGGATTTCCTTACATCGACACTACACGGTAATAACACAGATTAAATAATGTTACTAGGTGAGTAATAATACATAGTATTATTGCCAAAGAAACATAGACAGAGAGGAATGATTTCATTATCACGAATAGCAGTTTAAATGCTCGTTTACCAGCCTATCAACAGTGTATGTTAGCATCTGTTAATAATTTGTGATAGTTGTAAGAAATTGCTTATACTTGGTAGATCCATGCTGCAGCTGTACTATGGTTATAGCACGAATGCGTCGACTCGACCGAGGTAGGACCACGCTCTTATAGAATACCTACCAACGTTGAATAGCAGCTCAATGCTGCTGTGTTTCGTATGGTGAGTGTAAAGAACCGCAGACCCTTTTTACTGGAAACGAAGAAGTGTAAACGCATCTGCATTTTGATTCTTAATCGAGGATAAATATATGCCACAGCATTCACTTACCATCAGGTGGACTGTGTGCTCGTTGTCACCCTTATACTATAAAAAAAGAACTTATCTAGTCTTCTATAACAACATGTAAAAGTACACTGCTGGACATGGACCTCTTCCGTTATTGAGGTTTCGCCTTAATCCTCACGTTCGGCAAACAGATTGACGCCCGCAGATCGCAGTGCCAGATATATCACACCTTGAACGCTGCTGCAATACCGTTTATTTTACGTCTGGAATAAACGAAATGGCTAACTGCCATCTATTAGAAGATCAGAAGCCATAATTTTTGACGTGAATACGTTTTTAAATTGGTTTTCATAGTAGGAGGCAATTCAGAAAACTGATGATAAAAAAAACGGAGGATACAGTTTGGTGTTGCAACTACGTATCTATCATCTACATCCAAAATTTAATTACACTACTTGATAGCTAGAGGATCAAAGAACTCATTACATGTGTGAGTAAGTGAGGACTACGAAGTATCAAGCGCCGCCATTTTGAGGTCGTTTTGCGGCGTCTCATAATTTCCGTTTAGAATAAATTATGACATATTACGTATTTACGTAAAACACACGGCCGTATCCACGACATAGCAACACCTAGATTTTTTTTTTTTTTCAGATATTTCCTATTGTCAATACTTGCTATAGTAATTAAAGATGTTTAAATAGAAGCTCTATTTCAGCCGACACAACACTAGCATTTATAAACGAAAGTTGGGAGATTATAATGCAAGACGTCTCACCGAAATCCCTCAAAAAAATCACTAAGCGCAACGTTGAGGAAATCAAGAAATTCTTCGCTGCCTTTCCTGCAATGGAGCTTATGCTCCCATAAACGGTTGGGGTATTTGCCTTCAATGTCATCTATTATTCATGACATGAACCATTCCCTACCTCGCCATCTCATTAATTCTTTTGACATCTCTTTGATTATGAGCTTTATATCATCACTTCTTCTATTCTAATATTTTTATTTATTAGATATCGCTCTATATCACAGAACACTAATACCCTTAGGCGGGCTCTATATCGTCCGACATCAATTCTTTCCATTCAATCATTCTTTTCCATAGATTATCTATCTATACTATAAACATTGAGTTATATGTACTACCTATTAGAGAAGCCTTTCTAAACAAAAAATGTGCACTACTCTATGTCTTCGCGCATGCGCGGGAGTTAATAACATAGATAAATATATATGTAGCAAGCTAGTTAATAAAGTCGCGCATGCGCAGTCTATTTAAGCGGGTTGCGCCTGCGCGGTCAATTTATATAAAGAAATATATTTTTTCATGATTTTTTTCCTTTGTATTACGATATTATTACCTATTTATTCACTTGAATAACAAATAATTTTACTTACTTGACTACTGAATTGTTATTTACGTCCAGGTTTAAAGTTTAATTTGAAATCTTGTATTATTAGCGCCATGTTTAATGTCCATGTCACACCTATGCCGGTAGTTGTTGGGAACACTAAGCTCGAAGTTGTTGACGAGTATGTTTACCTGGGACAAATAGTCCGACTAGGTAAGTCCAACTTCGACCGAGAGGTCAATCGACGGATTCAACTCGGCTGGGCAGCGTTCGGGAAGCTACGACACATCTTCTCGTCAGACATACCTCAAAACCTGAAAACGAAATTGTACAACCAGTGCGTGTTGCCAGTAATGACTTATGGAACTGAGACGTGGTCCTTCACTGCTGGCCGTATGAGGAGGCTCAAGGTCGCTCAGCGAGCTATGGAGAGGGCTATGCTCGGAGTTTCTCTGCGTGATAAACTTAGGAATGAGGATATCCGCAGTAGAACCAGAGTAACCGACATAGCCCAACGGATTAGTAAGCTGAAGTGGCAGTGGGCCGGCCATATAGCTCGAAGAACCGACAACCGATGGGGAAGAAAGGTTCTCGAGTGGCAGCCTCGTACCGGTAGGCGAAGTGTAGGGCGTCCCCCCACGAGATGGAGTGACGACCTGGTAAGACATGCAGGAAGTCGATGGATGCAGGTGGCTCAGGACCGTGCTTTGTGGCATTCTCTGGGGGAGGCCTATGTTCAGCAGTGGACTTGTGAAGGGCTGTAATGATGAATGATGATTATTAGCGCCGCTCCACACTGCATGAATATTGAAACCACAGACTAAAAAACTAGATTGAAACCACACTAAATGACACACTGTACGGATTGCAGTACAGTTCAGTTGAACACAGTGTATGTTTGGAATGCCCAATCTAGTACGTAGTACATATATATCGATGACTATAAATAACACAATCAATTGCCGTGCGTAGTCACACAAAAACTGATAAATGCCTCGGTTTTGATCAAATTTTGTTTGGTCTCTGGATGGTTTAGATTCACAATTAAGACCCGGTGGTGGCGCAATTGTCGAGATCTAGAAATTACACATGCGAAGCCAGGGTGGATCGTTAATTATAAATATTTTTGAGATTATTTTTGATCGATCTAGTTAAATAAAATTGTTACGAGATCATAGGCCTGAATTCAGAGACAATCCGAGTTTAAACTCAAACTTCACAACGTCAAAACTTGAGTCTAAACTTTGGATAAATGACGATTTATCCAAGGTCTAGACATACTATACTCCACAACGTCAAAATTTGAGTATAATAAACGATACTTTACTTTTTGGCGGTAGTTTTGGCGGGAACTTGACCACCAGCGGATAGTTATTATTGAATTTTCGTTTAACTAATGGTTTGAAAACTCCTATGACTGACTTGACATTGGCAGAATTCTATCAAGAGAAGACATAATTTAAAGAAGAAGAAAACGAAGTAGAGTTTGATAGTAAGAGTGAAGCGATTTTCTGTATTAAGTGTCTATTGCATGTGAACTATTAGTAAAAACGGCGAAACTAGTGCTCCAATGTTGGTCTCAACTGATTTTGTCCGCTTAGGCGCCTTAAAAACTTGAGCTATTGTCGTCATCGACTATCCGTTGGGTTCAGCTATCGTCAAACTCTTCCAAAAACTTCCTAATGTGTCGCATCGGCATATTGTAAAGAAGTTATTTAAGCACAATATTTTAAATGATAATTTCTTATTTGACACTGGCAAAAGTGTAACCGTGCGAGTCCATAACGAAAGAAAAAAAGCTATATTCCATAGAATTATGGAGTGTAGAGTAGAAGGAGAACCATCTTATAAGGAGCGAAGGTTGAAAAAGTGTCCTACTATTTACTGTAAATAGAGGTTCCAAAACCTATCACAATAGCGCTGGCGTCTGAAAAACTACGATATGAAGATAGCTGTTATGAACGGAGTGAAGTCAGCTGAATTCAAATATTTCATGACTAGAGTAGTTAGTAAAACGCCAATATACAAAATCTCAACTATTTACGTAGTACAAAACCAAGCGGATTGATCGGTCCTTATTTATTTCTCCATCTTACTCTAAATACTTTAGGCGCTTCTTTTTTAATTTATCCTATGCTACTGCAGCCCCACCCTTATTGGACACCTTTTTAGGGACACTTTTCATATACAGAGATGGTCCTCCTTCTACTCTACACTCCATACATAGAATTTAAATTAAAATTCGTAATTATCTCTGAATACCGGGCCTTTTTTTTTTTGAAGTCCTACTCAAGAATAAATAATCCCTTTCTAAGTGCATTAAACGCCCAGTCCCATTCACAGGTTATATCTTAAAACTGCCTTATTGGTCTAGTGGTCATGAACGCGGCTGCCGATCATGAGGTTCCAAGTTTGAAACCATACGGATCGGGCACAAAATCAGTTGTTTTCCTGTCAAGAGATTCTCAGTAGCAGTCCGGAGTCAGGAAAATGTGTTGAGTAAACTATTACAGTTCTTGAGAAAAAATTAATTTTTATCACTCACTCATTTACTGATTCACTAAGTCACTCATTAAAAACCTAGAACATTTCTAGGTTACTTTGAAACTTGCAATTTGGCATCAAGGAATATTTAGGTGTGAATATACGAGTAGTGAAAACAATCTCAAAACTTCAAGAAAATTGTACATTCCTGCAGTTATGATTTAAAGAACTGCTATGGTTATTGGCACAAGTTTACACCTCATTCTCAAGTTTAGAGTTGGGAATCTTAACTTTTATCGGCTAAACTGACAACTCGGACGTCGATTGTATTTGTATCTAGCTTGATCCCTTTTTTAGGACATTTATGAAACTCATTTCCCCTTTTTCACATTTATATCTTGGCATACTCTTTATATCACATATTAGAAGTTAATAACCTCGTGAGGGATGAAATAGGAAATATGTATGAGGTAACTTTTAATTCATCATAACATTACCACTACCATTTCACCATTACCATTAGAGTATTATGTTTTTGACGGTACTCTTTACATCTCACATTAGAAATTACCTTATGATGGATGAAATAGGAAATATGGGGTAAATTTAAATTCACCAAATTACCACTGCCATTTCACGATTAACAAAACCAAATTCATCAGAGTGTACATCGTATTCATCAATATTTTATATGTATTTAGATAAGTGAAGTATAATACGTACTAGAAAAGACACCGCGAGCAAAATATGAGTGGCAGTGCTGGGCGCTAGGCTTGGGTAAAAAATATCGATGTTTTCTCACAAATGTATCGATATATTTCGTCGATATTCTTAATCGCGATATATCGATACTTATTTTAGAGTACCGAATTCGTATCAATTTCAATATATTTTTAAACGTTGGAAAATTTTGAGCCTTATCCTAGTACATCATACATAACATGACGATATATCGGTATTTATCACGCGATATACATCGATACAGTTTAAAAATATCGATACAATATATATCGATACAGTTTTTCACTCGCCCACTCCTACTGTGCGCGTGGCAATAGGCTCAAAGTACCTTTTATGGCACAGACTAAGTAAATTTGTGTTGCAAACGACTTCGCTTCGGCGTCTCTTCTAGTACCTACATATTACTTTAACGATTTTTATAACCGCTACCGCAAAAAATATTAATTTAACTCTTATCTCCAGCAAGAACAATTAGAAGCGTGCTCAACGCGAACTGGGAGTCCGTCATACACGACATAGCTCCCGTGGCTTTTGCGAAAATAATCGCCGCCTGTGTAAACGAAACCAAAAAACTATTCGCCGCCATTCCCGCCAACGAATTACTATTGCCTTGAAACTGCGCAACTGATGCAGAAGCAATAGCATTATGCAACTCTTGTAAATGGTGCAACAGCACACTGGGTAATAAATACGAGGGCAAACTGCAGACAAACGTCATGAAATATTACACAAAATGTCTGTTTCCATTAATTTCATCTGGGATAAAAGCCTAAACACAAAGTTCGATTTTGCAAGAACAATTATTATTTTTACCTACTTGTTATGAGTGTTAGGTATTTTTATTAGACTTTGCCATTTAGTTATTTCAAAACTATTTTGAATGTTACATAAAACGTATATTAACGCAAAGAACACGTTTAAGTTATTCTTTTTCTATTATTTGTTCCTAATCCTAAGTGTGCCCTCGTAATGTTTCAAGGCAACATTTAGGCCCGCCATATACATACGGAATTCCGAACAGTTTGGCCACACACATTCGGAATCCCGTTTTGGCCGCAAAATTTCGAACAGAAAACTACCGTACGTGTATAACGGGTCCTTGATTTTATCAAGGAATTGGAATTCCATATGTATGTAGCCGGCCTTACCAACTATTTATAAATTATTAACAGACATGTTTATTGTATGTTTACAATTATTTAAAATCGTTCATTCTATGTGTACCAATCATTAATAATAGAAGTATGTAAACTTAAGGCAAGGATAATTTTTAATAAAGTTTGTATCACAGTTTTATTCTATAAATTTCTAATTTATACTATTTATAGATTTTCTGACAAAAAGTTAAAATCTTGTCTATGCTCTATGTACTTGAATTTATATTTTTATTTTTAATCCTATGTACTTACTTATTTAAATAATGGTAAATTTCTGTAATATCATGAATATTTTAAGATCTAAATGTAAAAAATTGATAGACAGAATTTAAATTGTCATTAACTATATTTTTATTACAAATCTACAAGTAAATAAATTCCAAGCAGAACCATTACTCAGTAGTGACATATTATACAACAGACTGTGAGATAAATGTATTATAAAATAATATTATTTGTAACTTAAATTACTAAAACAAGACATTGGACATGGTTGAGGTTGTTAGGTACCAGTGATAATATAGGTTTTTGTGATAATTAGTAATAAGGATGAAGAAATACAAATTTTGACAATAATTTGCTTTTTATTTTATGACCCAAAAGTAAATAAAACAAAAATATTTATAACAAAATATGATTTATTAATCTTTATAACATAGTAAAAAAAATTGTAAATGCTTAGGAAAATTCAATTTTCAAACTCTTATAATCTAAGTACAGTTAAGCAGTAAAAAAGTTACTTTTGTATTAAGCGATGATTGTTTTACATTTAAGTTAACAATTAGCGAGGGCACATAGCATGACGGCCACCATCCACTGGCAGACTGACTCCAGTAATATTGGATGCCAAATCACTTGCAAGGAAAGCAATAGTAGCAGCCACCTCTTCCGGCTTCCCAGGACGTCCCAATGCATGCGTGTCTTTAGTGCGTGCTAAGAATGCCGCATATTGCTCTTCATTCAAACCTCCTCGCTTTTGCAATTCTGTTAATATTACTCCTGGATTTACACAGTTAACTCTAACACCTTTTGGGGCCAGCTCCAAAGCCACACAACGTGTAAATTGATCCACTGAGGCTTTTGATACATTATAAGCTAAAACTCCTGGAAAAGATCTTATACCATTGACGCTAGACACATTTACAATATTGCCTTTAGTTTTTATTAGATGTGGCACAGCTAACATAGTAAGGTAATAAATTGAGCGTACATTAGTGTTCATAAGCCGGTCATACTGAGCTAAGGTTGTCGTTTCTATGGTACCAGTTTCAATAATACCAGCATTGTTGACCAAAACGTCGATTTGTCCATAGTGATCAACAGTACTTTTTACAATTTTTTCAATATCACTTTCTTTATTTAAATCCGCCGGCACCACAAAAGAGGGCGTGGACTTTTCGCAATCATTATTCACTTTCTTAAGGTTCTCCACATTTCTCCCGGTAAGTGAGAGTTTTGCCCCGAGTTTGGACAAGAATACAGCCGTTGCAGCACCAATTCCAGAGCTTGCTCCGGTAACAATCACCACTTTTCCGGCGAAATTCATATTGACCACTGTCACCTTTTACAACGGCAAATAACTAAAAACAGACAGATACGAGAATTCTTATCAAAAACTATAAATAGATAACCTCAGACCAACAATGAAAAATAAACGGAGCGCTCGGAAGTCTATATGTTTAGATATCATAAATTTATTGTAATATGTTTATTTTCATAGATTACATAACTCTAACAGGGGAAAAGATGAATGAAAGTAAGCGATAATAGTACGAAACAAATGAATAATTAGCACATTTAAATAAAATAGCGTAATGAAAACAAACTTACAATAAATTTTTTTTTTCCTACAAAATTATAAGCAATAGACAATTTGTCAGTTGACACTTGACACTTGTCACTTTCATTTTTTTAAAAGGCTAATGGATCCATGCTCATACAACCTTATGTGAGGACTATATTGTTCGCAAAATTCTTCACAATATTATACTAATGTATTTCAAAGTTTTTGGGAGATTTTGATAATAGCTTAACCCAGCATACAGTTGATGACAATAGTACATCTAAAGCTAAACTAAACTAAACTAAAAACACTTGCTACATCGTTTTAAAATCAGATTTTTCACAGGCATTTAAACAAATATCCTTAATACTATTGCAGGAAATCACTCTATGCTTAACGATCTCCCCTTCCAAATTATACTGATGTTATTCCATCCTAGGCTCAGCCTCAGTCTTTCATCAATTAGACCATTATTACCAATTATTTATTATTTTGACATTATAAATATCTGGCGTAGGGATAACATTTAACAGTTAATGCTGATAAAACTGTTGTTACGGCCCCCAGCTGCCCCGGCAAAGGTCGACTGGGCTAGGGCCCATAGTAGCCTCCTTGACGAGCCGCCGAGGGTTCGGGCCCAATGGCCTATGGACAATTAGTTTAAAACGGCTGACAAGCAACGAAACTTACCGATTTTCGGAGGTAGGGTTGACAACAGGGTACCAGTCAAGTGGTAATGGAGGTGTATGTAAGTAGTGTGTAGCAGTGTGTACATGTAACCTGACTTAACCGATGTAGTCGGACGGCAGATCCACAGGTGCTGCTTTTCTCCAAATGTGCGATCCCTCCAAGGGGCGTTCACCAATTGAAAACCTTCTGCTTTTATTTCACTATATTAGCTTATCAACTTTATTGTACATTTAATTAAATTCAAATTTAACTAAATCCACGTTAATCGAAATCAAACCAGTGACACACGACATAAGTAAAGACCAGTCGGTCAAAGTTCAACGTTCCATGTTCACTTAGCAACAAATTATAATCACGAGAACGAACGCGGTCTCTTCTCGAGTCACAAAGTTCAGCGTTCTCCCGACAAAGCAAAACTTTCTTCGTACGATATTAAAATGCCACACAAGCCACTCGTCGACTCAAATTAATGTCAATCAAGGTTAAGTTAATAATTCAAACTCAATACAAGCCTTTTGTCACGAAACATACAAATTAGATATATCAATTCGAGGCGGTCTACACGAGACCCAAATCTTCGATAGTCAATTAGGCGCCGTTCAAGACTCTGGTGCCAGCCCACGCGGCCGAAAGATGGGAAGCGGCACACGGCCGCCGCCGTCCCGTCCCCCGGCGGCGTTTACCTCACCTCAATACCATCGGATCACGCGCCAAGCGCGCGTTATTAGATGCAATTTTCAAATGCCCATATTTGGCCTAAACAACTGTTATAATAAGTATTAATTACCCCTATACCAAAAAGACGGTTGAAAAAATTAGTTACCCGTAATTAAAATTATTATTACCAAAGCATAATAATAAAGGTTTACCATTCTTCACTGAAGTTAAATATTTGGGCGTTACAGTTGGCCAAAAACTTACATGGAACTCACCTGTGAAACTTGTGTCACAACGCTAAAATTTCTACAGCTACTTGTATAATTGGGAAAAACTGGGGCTTGCGTCGAAGGGTGATCCTGTGTGTCATTTTGTAGAATCTCAAAAATCCTGGTCCTATAGATTCTTATAACTCTTTACCACAAACAATATATAATAATAATAAAATAAAATGATCATAAATTCGCTTCAGAAACCCTGGGATTAATTAAAAATAAACTGCGTATTTTGGCAAAGCCCTGATTGGAATAAAATATATCTGTCAAAAATATATTTGCCAGGGATCTGTCTGCCAGAAAGAGCCAACTGTCAAGGCTGAAAACCGAGTGTGGCAGCATCGTTTCCGGGACACCTGAGATTTTGAGTGAGATTGAGATGTTCTATGGGCAGCTGTACACGTCATCGTTGGAGCCATACGCAATTGTGAGTAACGATCCAAGAGCGATTCTTATCCGACACTATTCCGAAGATATCCCGGACGTCAGTCTGAGCGAGATTAGAATGGCTCTCCAGCACCTTAAAAACGGCAAGTCCCCGGGCGAGGATGGAATTACAGCGGAGCTTTTGAAAGCGGGTGGAAAACCGGTACTTGAAGTCCTTTAGAAGCTCTTTAATTCCGTCCTCCATGGTGGCACTACTTCGGAGGCGTGGAGCATAAGTGCGGTGGTCTTGTTCTTCAAGAAAGGCGACAACGCTCTCTTGAAGAACTACAGACCGATTTCCCTTCTGAGCCGCTTCTACGTGCTGTTTTCGAGAGTCATTACGAATCGTCTCGCACGCAGACTTGACGACTTCCAGCCTCCCGAACAAGCCGGTTTCCGAAAAGGCTTTAGTACCATGGACCACATACATACCCTGCGGCAGATTGTACAGAAGACAGAGGAGTATAATCTGCCAGTTTGCCTTGCGTATGTGGACTATGAGAAAGCCTTTGATTCCATTGAAATTTGGGCGGTGCTGCAGTCCCTTCAGCGGTGCCAAGTTGACTGTCGGTATATCGAAGTGCTGAAGTGTTTGTACAGTAGAGCTACGTTGGCTCTCCGAGTACAGAATCAGAGTACGAAACCTGTCCAACTGCAGAGAGGTGTAAGACAGGGTGACGTTATATCCCCGAAACTCTTCACCGATGCATTGGAAGACGTGTTCAAGTTACTGGACTGGAAAGGATACGGTATTAACATCAATGGCGAGTACATCACTCACCTTCGATTTGCCGACGATATAGTTCTTATGGCAGAATCGCTGGAGGACCTAAGCACTATGCTCAATGACCTAAATAGTGTCTCCCAACGGATAGGTCTTAAGATGAACATGGACAAAACAAAAATCATGTTTAACGTCCATGTTACACCTATGCTGGTAGTTGTTGGGAGCACTAAGCTCGAAGTTGTTGACGAGTATGTTTACCTGGGACAAATAGTCCGACTAGGTAAGTCCAACTTCGACCGAGAGGTCAATCGACGGATTCAACTCGACTGGGCAGCGTTCGGGAAACTACGACATATCTTCTCGTTAGACATACCTCAAAACCTTAAAACGAAATTGTACAACCAGTGCGTGTTGCCAGTGATGACTTACGGATCTGAGACGTGGTCCTTCACTGCTGGCCGTATGAGGAAGCTCAAGGTCGCTCAGCGAGCTACGGAGAGGGCTATGCTCGGGGTGTCTCTGCGTGATAAACTTAGAAATGAGGATATCTGCAGTAGAACTAGAGTAACCGACATAGCCCAACGGATTAGTAAGCTGATATGGCAGTGTGCCGGCCATATAGCACGAAGAACCGACAACCGATGGGGAAGAAAGGTTCTCGAGTGGCAGCCTCGTAGCGGTAGGCGAAGTGTAGGGCGACCCCCCCCCACTAGATGGAGTGACAACCTGGTGAGACATGCAGGAAGTCGATGGATGCGGGTGGCTCAGGACCGTGCTTTGTGGCATTCCTTGGGGGAGGCTTATGTTCAGCAGTGGACTTGCGAAGGGCTGTAATGATGATGAATGACGAGGTAATCTATGGTAGACCGCTATATGCAACACATATATAAATATATAAATTCAATGTTTATATATGTGTATGTATATGTATATATTATGTTTTACTTTATCTCTTATTATGTATACATTTATATTTATATATATATATATATATATATATATATATATATATATATATATATATATATACATATTGCATGGAAGAGATTTCTATGTAGCGATAAGGCCGCCAAATTGTTCATATAATCTGCTTTTTGTTATGTCATTTGTATATTTGTTCGTGGTGTACAATAAAAGTATATTTATTCATTCATTCAACAGTGAACTTTGATGGCTGTAATCATGATGTAGATTATTGAAAGAATAACTTGTACGCTTAATTGAGATAGAGACCTGTAAAAATCTTAAGCTACTTCAGGATGACAGTGAAAACGTTTGAAGTATTACTAGTCATTGTTGGCCCTGAAATAACATGACAAGATTCACAATAATTTATATATAATATATTAGCCATAATGAGCTATAAAATAACATATTAGCTATAAAAGGAAGTAGTAATTTCTATTTATCTAATGGGATTTTGGTATGGAGAAATATGGCTGATTTAGAAACAATTTTTGTTTTGCGGAAGAGAGCCATAAGAGATATTTACAACCTTAAACCGAGAGAGTCTCTCAGAAAAAAAAATTAAAAGAATAAATAAATCAACTTTGGCCTCGCAGTATATTTAAGAAAATTTTATGTATGTTCACAAAAACATAAGTAGTTTTAATAAAAAAAAAAGTGGTATACACTCTGTAAACACCAAAATCAAACACAAGCTAATGATACCAGTTTCGCGACTCTAAAATCAGTAATTTATTCACGGGGCAATGTATATACGCTTTTTATTTATTTATTAGGAAGCCAATATTATGATAATGTACGAAAAAAATGTTTACACAAGTAATTGATTATTCTAATGTTTAGTAGATATCATGCAGGCTAAATAAACATGTTAAAGTAAAAATAATAAGTAACGCACAACTACTAAAATAATAAGTAACGTAAAACTTAACAGTGGTAGAGCCAGGCGGCAGCTTTTGATGTCGCACGGATGGGCCGGCTCGAACCGGGGTGGTACCACGACCTCACAGAATACCAGCGTG